TGACCCACTTATGAGACGGTGACCCACTTATGAGACGTTGACCCACTTATGAGACGTTGACCCACTTATGAGACGGTAACCCACTTATGAGACGGTGACCCACTTATGAGACGGTGACCCACTTATGACACTTTGATCTACTTAAAAGATGTCAGACGACTTATTGTTGGGGGCAACCAGGAATACCAAGTTAACTAGCCAGATTACCCGGTTACCTAGTCAGAATACCTGAGATCCTTGACATCAAATACTAGCATGATTATCCTTTTACACAACAATATTACATTACCCGGTTACCTAGCCCTAGGTTACCTAGCAACACCAGCCAAAATATCCGGCTAACCAACATAATTACCCGGTTACCTAGCCACATTACCCTGATACCAAGAAAGATCACCCAGTTATAAACCATATTATCTAGTTATCTAACCAAAACACAGGGTTACCCAGCCATATTGCCAGATTACCCAGCCAAACTATCCAGTTAACCAGCAAGATTACTGTTACCAGCCATATTGCCAGGTTACCCAGCCAGATTACCCAGTTACCTATCCAGATTACCCAGTTACCCAGCCAGATTACCCAGTTACCCAGCCAGATTACCCAGTTACCCAGCCAGATTACCCTGTTACCCAGCCTGATTACCAGTTACCTAGACAGATTATCCAGTTACCCAGCCAGATTACCCCTGTCTCTTATACACATCTAGATGTGTATAAGAGACAGTCGCGGTACGTTAAGANAATCCTAGATAAATCCTTCTAAAATTTAAATCCTAGATAAATCCTTCTAAAATATGAATCCTAGATAAATCCTTCTAAAATTTAAATCCTAGATAAATCCTTCTAAAATATGAATCCTAGATAAATCCTTCTAAAATTTAAATCCTAGATAAATCCTTCTAAAATATGAATCCTAGATAAATCCTTCTAAAATTTAAATCCTAGATAAATCCTTCTAAAATATGAATCCTAGATAAATCCTTCTAAAATTTAAATCCTAGATAAATCCTTCTAAAATATGAATCCTAGATAAATCCTTCTAAAATTTAAATCCTAGATAAATCCTTCTAAAATATGAATCCTAGATAAATCCTTCTAAAATTTAAATCCTAGATAAATCCTTCTAAAATATGAATCCTAGATAAATCCTTCTAAAATTTAAATCCTAGATAAATCCTTCTAAAATATGAATCCTAGATAAATCCTTCTAAAATTTAAATCCTAGATAAATCCTTCTAAAATATGAATCCTAGATAAATCCTTCTAAAATTTAAATCCTAGATAAATCCTTCTAAAATATGAATCCTAGATAAATCCTTCTAAAATATAAATCCCAGGTAAATCCTTCTAAAATATGAATCCTAGATAAATCCTTCTAAAATTTAAATCCTAGGTAAATACTTCTAAAATATAAATCCTTTCAAAATATAAGCCCTAGATAAATCCTTCTAAAATATAAATCCCAGATAAATCGTTCAAAAATATAAATCCTAGATATCTCTTTATAAATATAAATCCCAGATAAATCCTTTTAAAATATAAATCCTAGATAAATCCTTCTGAAATATAAATCCTAGATAAATCCTTCTGAAATACTAATCCCAGACAAATTCTTATTAAATATAAATCCTAGATAAATCCTAATCTAATAGAAATTCTAGGTAACTCCTCCTGATATACAAATTTTAGATTAATGCTCGTGAAATAAAAAAAATCCTCCTAATCCTAAAATCCCATATCCAAGAAAAATCCTCCTAAAATACATACCCCAGACTTTTAAAAAAAATCCTAGATAAATTCACCTTCAATACAAACCCCTAGACTTTATTAAACAAATCCTAGCTAAATCCTCCTGAAATGTAAATCCTAGTTATAGGTATTCACCTAGAATACAAACCCTAGACTTTTCTTAAAAAATCCTAGATAAATCCTTCTGAAACACAAACCCTAGACACTTCTAAACAAACCCTAGATAAATCCTAATTTAATATAAATTTTAGACAACTACTCCTGTTATACAAAACTCAGATAAATCCCGGTAAACTAATGCAATAATGGCCCCACAGACCGGGCCAACAATGGCCCCACAGACCGGGCCAACAATGGCCCCACAGACCGGGCTCGTTGACGGTGTAGCTGGCGTAGCAGGAGCCGTCCATGCGGTCCTTGAAGTCGATGGTGGCCTTCGATGGGCCCTCCACGCTGATGGCCAGGGCCCCGGCCCCGGCCTCGCGGGTCCACACGTTGAACTCGCTCGGCATGTTGACCTCACCGCGCTCCAGGCCCGGGCCTCCCGCGTGCACACGGTGGGCCCCACCATCCTTCAGGGGCCCCACCTGATGGTACGGGTGGTAGGTGAGAGATGGTCCCACGCGGCCCAGTGGGGGGCCACTGAGCCCCAGTGGGGCAGCACTGAGCCCCAGTGGGGCAGCACTGAGCCCCAGTGGGGCACCACTGAGCCCCAGTGGGTCAGCACTGAGCCCCGGTGGGTCACCACTGCGCCCCAGTGGGGCACCACTGTGGTACAGTGGGGCACCACTGCGCCCCAGTGGGGCACCACTGTGGTACAGTGGGGCACCACTGCGCCCCAGTGGGGCACCACAGAGCCCCATGGGGCACCACTGCGCTACAGTGGCGCTAAATTTCAGTGCAAATCAGATTTTGGGTTCGAAATATGGTTTGGGGAGTTTCGGGCAATTATATATAGAACCCAATTTTATATATTCATGTAAACCACATAAATAAATTTATATAAATAGTTAATAGAACCCAAATCAGAAGTTGGGTTCAAAATAAGGATGGTTTGAGGGGAGTTTAGGAGTGGGGGTGAGGGAGGGGGGTTAGGAGTGGGGTTAGGAGTGGGGGTGAAGGAGGGGGGTTTACTCACGGTGAACTGGAAGGGGGAGCCTGGGATGTGGGCGTCCATGTAGGGGGGTTAGGGAGGGGGGTTAGGAGTGGGGGTGAGGGAGGGAGTGGGTGGTGAGGGAGGGAGTGGGGGTGAGGGAGGGAGCGGGTGCTGAGAGAGGGAGTGGGGGTGAGGGAGGGAGTGGGGGTGAGGGAGGGGGGTTAGGAGTGGGGGTGAAGGAGAGGGGTTTACTCACGGTGAACTGGAAGGGGGAGCCTGGGATGTGGGGGTGAGGGAGGGGGGTTAGGAGTGGGGGTGAGGGAGGGGGGTTAGGAGTGGGGGTGAAGGAGAGGGGTTTACTCACGGTGAACTGGAAGGGGGAGCCTGGGATGTGGGCGTCCATGTACTTGACGCTGACGGTGTGCACGCCAAGCTCCTTAGGTACGAAGTTCACCCCGAAGAGGCCGTCCTCGAGCTCCAGGGTCTCCGCGGCCGCGCTCACGCCCTTGGGGGACGCCACCAACGCCGACAGGTCGAAGGCGCTGATGCCTGTGGCAGAGGAGGTGGGACGTTAGGGTAAGAGTGGGAGGTGGACGTTAGGGCTGGAGTGGAGGTGGAAAGTTATGGCGACCGAAGGGAAGGTTGAACGATATGGCGACCGAAGAGGAGGTGGGACGTTAGGGTAAGAGTGGGAGGTGGGACGTTAGGGTAAGAGTGGGGGTGGAACGTTTTAGTGACCGAAGAGGGGATGGAACGCTGTAGACAGTGAAGAGAGGGTTGAACATTATGGGGACGTAAGAGGGAATGAAACGTTATGGCGACCGAAGAGGAGGTGGAACGTTATGGCGACAGAAGAGGAGGTGGAATGTTATGGCGACAGAAGAGGAGGTGGAACGTTATAGCGACCGAAGAGGAGGTGGAACGTTATGGCGACCGAAGAGGAGGTGGAACGTCATGGCGACCGAAGAGAAGGTGGAACGTTATGGCGACAGAAGAGGAGATGGAATGTTATGGGGACAGAAGAGGAGGTGGAACGTTACAGCGTCCGAAGAGGAGGTGGAAAGTTACTGCGTCCGAAGAGGAGGTGGAAAGTTACTACGTCCGTAGAGGAGGTGGAACGTTATGGCAAACGAAGAGGGGGTGGAATGTTATGGCGACGTAAAAGGAGGAGGAACGTTATGGTGACCGAAGAGGAGGTGGAAAGTTATAGCGACCGAAGAGGAGGTGGAACGTTATGGCGACGTAAAAGGAGGTGGAACGTTATGGCGACAGAAGAGGAGGTGGAACGTTATGGCGACGAAAAAGAAGGTGAAAAGTTACAGTGACCGAAGAGGAGGTGGAACGTTATGGCGACCGAAGAGGAGGTGGAAAGTTATAGTGACCGAAGAGGAGGTGGAACGTTATGGCGACCGAAGAGGAGGTGGAACGTTATGGCGACCGAAGAGGAGGTGGAATGTTATGGCGACAGAAGAGGAGGTGGAACGTTATAGCGACCGAAGAGAAGGTTGAACGTTACAGCGTCCGAAGAGGAGGTGGAAAGTTACTGCGTCCGAAGAGGAGGTGGAAAGTTATGGCGACCGAAGAGGAGATGGAAAATTATGGCAAGAAATGGGGTACAGTGTTACTCGACCAATGAGTGAATGGTTGAACTTTATGACAATCGAAAAGGAGGTAGAACTTTAGAACAATGAAAGTGGAGGATGCTGATTAGATGGAAAATGAAAGTATACTTGGGAAAGGATGCCAGGTTTCTGATTGCTGACGAGCTCAAAATAGAAAGTACTCGAAAAGGAATGAACAAATTGTGCAGTGGACACGGTCGGGAGGAAGAATAGCAGCAGACGGCAACAGACAGACGTACCGGGGATCTTGAAGGTTAGACGGCACTGGCTGCCCACTTCTGTCAGAGGGGCGGCGTCCCTCTGTCTGTGAATGCGCTCCGTCTGACGGTTGCTGCCCTCGCCCGTCACCTGCAGACAGAAGGGGCACAGACGGTCTTAGGGGTCGTGCCCCCAGGGGACGGTTTAGACATTAAATGTTGATTGACGGGTTAACACCCAATTAAACAGGAGATGGTGATTCGGCATTTGACGGCAAACCAACAAGGAGCATTTCTGTAGACGGGAAATTGTGAAGTGTCTTACTGTCATCATTACTGTAATCTAGACGACCCAGCGAAAATTTACAGACGCGGCAGCTTCTGATTTGGAGTACCAGAAGCTGGGGCGACACTAAATTTTGTTAGTGGACGAGGTCGGAGGCCTCACCTTGACAATGTAGGGGGACTCCCCGACGATGTTGTCGGCGAACTTCAGGTTGATGATGTAGTAGCCAGGCTCGGTGGGGCGGTAGCTGATGGCCAGCGTGCCGTCATCGTTGTTCTTGCAGGAGATTTCAGCCTTGCTTGGGCCTTCGATGGACAGCGAAAGGCCGCCGAAGCCCGCATGGACGGTGTCCACCGTGAACGTGTTGTCCTGGTGAGTCTTGCCCTCTCTGATACCGGGGCCTGAGACCTGGTGGGCAAAAGCGGTCAGTTAGTGGGTGTCGACCGTGAACGTGTTGTCCAGGTGAGTTTTGCCTTCTTTGATGCTGGGACCTCGAGACCTGGTGGGTGTGAGGCGGTCAGTTAGTGTGGGTTCTACCCTCTCTGATGCCAGTTCTCGAGACCTGGTGGGTGTGAGGCGGTCAGTTAGTGTGGGTTCTACCCTCTCTGATGCCAGTTCTCGAGGCCTGGTGGGTGTGGGGCGGTCNCCTGGTGGGCAAAAGCGGTCAGTTAGTGGGTGTCGACCGTGAACGTGTTGTCCAGGTGAGTTTTGCCTTCTTTGATGCTGGGATCTCGAGACCTGGTGGGTGTGAGGCGGTCAGTTAGTGTGGGTTCTGCCCTCTCTGATGTCTGGGCCCGAGATCTGGTAGGTGTGAGTGGGTTAGTTAGAATTGTTCTGGTGGGGTCTACCCTACGAAAAAGAGAGGAAGAGGGCGAAGGGGTTGAGGGACGGAGGAATGGGTTGAAGGGATTAGTTAGTCAATAAGTGTCAATACTTATTTCATCCACCTGACGCACTGGAACAACCCTAACCTACCCTGACCCACTTGACCTACCATGACACGGTTGGCGTCGCCCACTTCGGTGTTGGAGACTTCGATGTTGAAAGGTGACCCACTAATGTCGGAGCCCTTCTTGCGGATGCTGACCCAGTGTTTGCCCTTCTCGCGGGGGGTGAAGGACACTCCTAAGGTAGAAAGAAAGGCAATTAACTCAGGGTCAAGGAGATAATGGGTCAATGTGCTTGCGGTTAAAGTATGCCACCTACAGACAGCTCACACTGCAAAATGTTCAAAGCTTGCCGAGGTTCATACCCACGACTAAATTCTCACATTTCTACGACCTTGACCACTCAACCAGTACTTACTATAAATACTTCACCTCCTCTACAGCCGTATACTCCCCACGACTCCCCGCTACCCAATGCTCCTCACACGGCCCCCAACTCCCCTCCCCGTACTAACCATAACTCTTCACACTCACCAACTTTGCCGTCGGGGAGCTTCTTGATGAAGCAAGGCTCCTCCAGCCCCGAAGGCGCCATGATGGCCGCGTTGAGGCTCTTGAGTTCCCCATCGGGGATGCTGCCGGGGAATGCGACCTCCGACTGCGACCTGTGGGGTTGGTGGAAGAAGGGGTTAGATTGGGGAACACCATTTCCGACTGGGACCTTCGAAGGGTGGGAAAAGAAAGGGTTAGATGGAGGAGCACAGGACAATAACTTGTCACCGGCCATTCACCTCACCCAGGTTTACATGTCTTGTGAAGGTACTTCGAGCAAATACCTTTCCTTGCTGGTGTAATGGTATTTGCTGGATGTGTGGGGGAAAAGATGATGACAAACCATCGTCTAAAGTGTTAAGGCGGTGGTCAAGGCCGAGCCAATGCGAGCGTTAGGGGCTAAATTAGGGGAGGGATGGCGGCAGGATCAGATGTTTGGGCACTGGTAGGGCCGAAGACAAGGGTAAGGGTTGCGGTAGAGGTAGGGCTATGAGTAAAGGAAGGGGTTGGGGCTAGGGGGAGGCACGGGTACGTCTTAGGTGGCACGGAAGGGGATGAGGGAGGCTGCTCCAGAAATACAAGAAGATCTATCATGTATGGTGTCAATATGCTTAGTATTGCTTAGTTTGAAATTATTGCACATCCTCATCGCACAGATCTTACATCCATTGAAAACTATGGTCTGGTAGAGTCTAACAAGGTGGTACATTGGTAGCTCTGAACACTGCAAGTGAATAAATCGGCATTTGTTGTACTTCACTACTACACCCCAGAACAGTCAATCACCTCTGTACAGGTCAGCCAATCACTCATTCCATGCTGATTGGCTGAGCAAATCACTCACCCCAGGCTGATGTGGTTACGCTTGCGGCCCTCGCCGGTTATCTTGGCAGTGTACGGCGACCCGCGGATGTGCTTGTCCGCGAACTTGACGGAGACCTGACGAGAAACGAGGGTTACGTCAGTATCACGTCGGTGCGGGGACACGGCGTCATCAACACGTCAGGTAGAAGACAGGGCGTTAGTGCCGCGAATACCCTAACTCTACTGCGTCTTACTCGTAGGAGTACCCTGGCAGCGACGAAAATTGACCGCTTCGCAGGCGGGCTAAGCAACGGACATCCACCACCCCTCGTTGACCATGAGGAGGCCCTGGTGGCGCTCACCATCTTCCCCAATGGTGTCCAAAAAACCCAGGCCTCTTTCGCCATTTGTTCCCTTCGTTTGGCCGATGTTCGATCCCTACGAGAAGATCTTTGCTCTCTTGACTTCTCAACTCCTCATCGTCGCGCAATGAATGAGTCGGATGGGATCCAGGGTTGGGAAAGGATCCCAACCCTGGACCCCACAACTGTTCGGTCAGCGAGTCACTGGTCACGGTGACTCGCTTGAGTCGACCCAGTCCCACGGGCCCGACCCAGTCCCTTGCACCAGCGTACCCTCCAACCCTGCCTGCTCCTCTTTCAACCCTGCCTCCTTCCGCCCCGACTCTACCCCCGCCCGCATCCTGCATTTCTTATTCAACGGGTTCAAATACATAACAACGGAAGTAGCCACCTATCTTGTAGAGCACGAGAGTCCAAGAGGTCGCCTCCAAGAGTCCAAGTTAACGACTGTGACTTGCCATCCTGCTTTCTCTGGCCACGCTGTCGAGCGTCGGAACCGTCCTCGGTCTAGTATGCCACAATGTGCCCTACTCCAATGTGGACACGAACACCTTCCTCCATGGAGACGTTATTATGTAGTCATTAGGAATCCCCATCTTTCCAAATGGCTTTACACTCGAGATCATCAATATCATCATTCCTCCAGCAACGTCTTTCCCCCTGGTTAAACTCCGGACCTGTTAGGCATCCTCTCCGTTACAGACGAATGTCTCGTCATAGTTAAGACTTCAACGCCCATCACGCCTCATGGAACTCCTTTTAAAACGAATCCTTAGCACTCCATTTATATCATATCCTTTACAGCCGACCCGAGAGTCGCGGCGAATAAAGTGGTCGTAGACGACTTCCTGTTCGCCAGTCCATCCGGGACCCTGAATGAAGCCTCACCCACCCATCTTCCGACCAACGGGCCCTGCCAACAGGGCCCACACGAAGGGTCTACACCCCCTTTACCCTGTTAGAAAAAACGGTGAAAAAACGGTTCAACTGGCGTTCTAGTGGCCGGTCGCCCCGTGAAAATAAACTGATTCGCCGATTTTATCAGATGTTTTACGGATTTATAGTGTTAAATTAGAATAAAAATGGCGACACGGTGTTTCTTTTCACGTGCCGACCGGCCACTGAAACGCCGGTAATACCGTTAACGGTAATTTTTCTAACAGTGCACATCCCCTTCACTCGACCTGTTCCTACTGGGGACTGCTTCACATGTACATCCCTACGTACATCCCCTTCACTCGACATCCCCTGCACATGTCCCCACGGCAGACTGCTCTGTCCACGCATGTGACCCTTGACTCCGACTACTTGCCGTATGTCCCAAGTCTGCCGTATGTCCCCACGGCAGACTGCCTTGTCCACTCATGTGGCCCTTGACTCCGACCACTTGCTGTATGTCCCAAGTTTGCCGTATGTCCCCACGGCAGACTGCCTTGTCCACTCATGTGGCCCTTGACTCCGACCACTTGCCGTATGTCCCAAGTCTGCCGTATGTCCCTACGGCAGACTGCGTTGTCCACGCATGTGGCCCTTGACACCGCCCACTTGCCGTATGTCCCAAGTCTGCCGTATGTCCCTACGGCAGACTGCTTTGTCCACGCATGTGGACCTTGACACCGACCACTTGCTGTATGTCCCAAGTCTGCCGTATGTCCCTACGGCAGACTGCCTTGTCCACGCATGTGGCCCTTGACTCCGACCACTTGCCGTATGTCCCAAGTCTGCCGTATGTCCCTACGGTAGACTTCCCCATGCTGATCTCGCTTCCCAGTCACCCCAACCCACCTTGTACTCCCCAGGGGAGGTGGGGAGGTAGGAGGCGGTCACGGTGCCGTCCTTGTTGTCGTGACAGGAGATCTCGGCCTTGCTGGGGCCCTCGACCGCCAGGGCCAGGCTCCCTGAGGGGGGTAGAAGGGGAAAAGTGGGGGTTAGGGTGAGTTGGTGAAGGCTGAGTTTACTAGCGAGTAAAGTAACAGTTTACTGTCTATTACCTATGCCTGTTTTGCCTAAATACTATGAAATTTGATAGAACATTTTTAGGTACTCAAGATGGAGCTTTCGCATTTTTAATTTTTTTACATAACTTGGAAAGTAACACTACCACCACCACCCGCAAACCACCACACCACCACCACCCAACCACCACGACCACTTACCGGCACCAGCATTCTTGCTGCTGATGGTGAACGTTGCAGGTTCACCGGAGATACCGTGCACGATACCGGAACCGTACGCTGTCACGGTACCGCTCTCGAGGCTGTCTACGTAGAACTTGAAGGGCGAGCCTGCCGATGATAATAATAATTATTATATTATTACATTATATTACAGATAATGATAGTTATTGTACCGTGTATACCATAATGATAATTATTATGTTACACTGTTAGAAAAAACGGTGAAAAAACGGTCCACCGGCATCCTAGCGGCCGGTCGCCCCGTGAAAATAAACTGTTTCACCGTTTTTATCAGATGTTTTACGGATTTCTGGCGTTAAATTGGAATAAAAACGGTGAAACGGTGTTTCTTTTCACGTGCAACTGTTTCACCGTTTTTATCAGATGTTTTACGGATTTCTGGCGTTAAATTGGAATAAAAACGGCGACACGGTGTTTCTTTTCACGTGCCGACCGGCCACTGAAACGCCGGTAATACCGTTAACGGTCATTTTTCTAACAGTGTACAGATAATGATAGTTATTGTACCGTGTATACCATATGCTATACTATATAATATAATGATAGTTATATGATAGATAATGATAAATCAGTTTTAGTACCGTGACCCTACACGGTACAAGTACAGTTCATAAAAAATCTGGTATACCACACTCGTGGTATCCATGATACCGACCCGGTTAAAATTCACAGCAGTGTTTAAGCTGGACCGGGGCCGCACAGGGCAGGTTTAAAGCAGGTATAAAGCAGGGATGTCCGATTTAGAGGCCGATGTATATAATGAATGAAATTCATGCCGAAAATCGGCGGCTTTTGGAGGTATGAATTATGCTTCAAACCTACTGGTGTGCGGCAGGCATAATAGATCTAAATCTGCTTCTAACCTGCTGTAAACCTGCTTCTAACCGGCTGTAAACCAGCTCCAAACCTGCTCCAAACCAGCTCCAAACCTGCTTCAAACCTGCTGTAAACCTGCTCCAAACCAGCTCTAAACCTGCTGTAAACCAGCTCCAAACCTGCTTTTAACCAGCTCCAAACCTGCTCCGTAGCTTAAATCTGTACAAACTCCTGCTCCGAATTATAACCGGGGAGGGGGGCAATTTATAGACATACACTTCCTCAGACCCCCTCACCCTGGGCGTTTTCTCCGTTTTAGCAGACCATCAGACCCTACAGACCTGCAGACCCCCACAGCCCCTCTTACCCTTGGATATTCTCCCCGTTGTAGCAGACCATCAGACCCCACAGACTAACAGACCCCCACATCCCCTCTTACCCTTGGATATTCTCCCCGTTGTAGCAGACCCTAAGCCTGTCTCTTATACACATCTAGATGTGTATAAGAGACAGCGTTAAGGCGACCGAAGAGGAGGTGGAACGTTATGGCGAGAGAAGAGGAGGTGGAATGTTATGGCGACAGAAGAGGAGGTGGAACGTTATAGCGACCGAAGAGGAGGTGGAACGTTATGGCGACCGAAGAGGAGGTGGAACGTCATGGCGACCGAAGAGAAGGTGGAACGTTATGGCGACAGAAGAGGAGATGGAATGTTATGGGGACAGAAGAGGAGGTGGAACGTTACAGCGTCCGAAGAGGAGGTGGAAAGTTACTGCGTCCGAAGAGGAGGTGGAAAGTTACTACGTCCGTAGAGGAGGTGGAACGTTATGGCAAACGAAGAGGGGGTGGAATGTTATGGTGACCGAAGAGGAGGTGGAAAGTTATGGTGACCGAAGAGGAGGTGGAAAGNAGTTAAAGCACTGTCTCTTATACACATCTAGATGTGTATAAGAGACAGCCATCAGACCCTGCAGACCTGTAGACCCCTACAGACCATCTTACCCTGGACATTCTCCCCGTTGTAGCAGACCCTAAGCAGACCCCCACAGCCCCTCTCACCCTGGACATTCTCCCCGTTGTAGCAGACCCTAAGCAGACCCCCACAGCCCCGCTTACCCTGAACGTTCTCCCCGTTGTAACAGACCATCAGACCCCCACAGCCCCTCTCACCCTGGACATTCTCCCCGTTGTAGCAGACCAGGAGCTCGTGTAGACCTGTAGACCCCCACAGCCCCTCTCACCCTGAACGTTCTCCCCGTTGTAGCAGACCAGCAGCTCGTATAGACCCTCACAGGAAGGCTCGTACTGAACCTTGACACCCTAAGCAGACCCCAACAGACCCTACTCACCCTAGACGTTCTCCCCGTTGTAGCAGACCATCAGACCCCCACAGTCCCTCTTACCCTGGACATTCTCCCCGTTGTGGCAGACCCTAAACAGACCCTCTTACCCTGGACATTCTCCCCGTTGTAGCAGACCAGCAGCTCGTGCAGACCCTCACAGGAAGGCTCGTACTGAACCTTGACTGTGCCATCCCTGTTGTCGGTGATGACGGGGGAGCGAACCTCACCGGACGGCATGATTACTTGCGCTGGGGGGAGGGGGGGAGGGGGGCATGATTACTTGCGCCTGTCTCTTATACACATCTAGATGTGTATAAGAGACAGGTATCACCCATTCGGTGCTGTTAAATTCTAAGGTGATTAAAATTTACCCACTGCACCTGCATTTATCTACCTTGGTGGTTAATTCTTAACAGTATATCTATAAACCTATATTTATTCGGCTTTTGAAGAATGCATGCCGTAATTCTTTGAGAAGAAGCCTTGCTTTAGAAACTACTGACGAAATTCTAGCTACTCAATAGTGAACTAATAATTTAAGCGTTCATGTGCATTTGTTTTGCACTTAACGCCTTTGACATGGTTTTTCGTTTGTCTTGCCACTGTGTCACATATTCGCAAGCTTTTGAATAAAACATATAAAAGTNAAGTGTGTCCTGAGAGTATGACAAGTGTGTCCTGAGAGTATGACAAGTGTGTCCTGAGAGTATGACAAGTGTGTCCTGAGAGTATGACAAGTGTGTCCTGAGAGGATGACAAGTGTGTCCTGAGAGTATGACAAGTGTGTCCTGAGAGTATGACAAGTGTGTCCTGAGAGTATGACAAGTGTGTCCTGAGAGTACGACAAGTGTGTCCTGAGAGTATGACGAGTGTGTTCTGAGAGTATGACAAGTGTGTCCTGAGAGTATGACAAGTGTGTCCTGAGAGTACGACAAGCTGCCCAAGGGCTGCACTTCAGGCTCGGCCGAGGCTGAAATTAGCGGCTGATTTGCGCGCTCCCCGAGTCCTGGGCGGCGCCTGATGCAGAGTCGGGCCCGCACCTAAATTTTGTTAGGCTAGACATGTGGTCTAAATTACCCAGCATTAATTAGCTGCCAGCTCCCAATGCCTGTGACGTGTCACTGTGCTCCCAATCCCCACCACTCCCATAACTCCCCACTATACCTCCCCAATCCCCACCACTCCCATAACTCCCCACTATACACCTCCCCATTCCCCACCAAACCCACAATTCCCCACCCACACCAGTGATGTGTTTCAATGGGTCCCAACTCCCCTCTATTACTCCCATTTCCCCACAGTAGTTGAGTGTCTCTTTGTGCCCCTACACTCCCACTACTCCCCACTAAATTCCCCAAAAAATCCCCCACTATACTCCCCAAAAAATCCCAACCACTCCCTAAAAAATCCCCCACCACTCCCCAAAAAATCCCAACTAAACTCCCCCAAAAAATCCCCACTAAACTACTCAAAAAATCCCCACTACTCCCCAAAAAACCCCATCACTCCCCCAAAAAATCCCCACTAAACTCCCCAAAAAATCGCAACCACTCCCCAAAAATCCCTACTAAACTCCCCAAAAAATCCGCAGCACTCCCCTCACCTGTTACGTGTCCTCCTGTGCTGGGGAGGGGGATCTGCCTGAGGTCGAGGCTGGGGAAGTTGTCGCTGTGGGGGGAGGCGCTGGGGGATTTGGGGGAGGCCTTGGTGGTGCTTTGGCTCTCACTGCTGTGCTGCGCCTGCGGGAGGAGATGGGGAGAAGGATGGGGTTAGTGGGAGGTGTGGGGGGAGTAGCAATAACAAGACTAAGAACAGCAAAAACAACAATTTACATTCCTTTCACATCCCCTTGATATTACTTTCACATCCCCTTGATATTACTTTCACATCCCCTTGATATTACTTTCACATCCCCTTGATATTACTTTCACATCCCCTTGATATTACTTTCACATCCCCTTGATATTCCTTTCACATCCCCTTGATATTCCTTTCACATCCCCTTGATATTCCTTTCGCATCCCTTTGATATTACTTTCAACGTAATTTTTACATCCCCTATTTTCAACGTTCCTTTCACATCATTCAACCCCTTTACATCCTTCTCAAATTCTTTCAACACCCCTTTTACATCCCATTTACACCCCCATCCCCCCACCCCCATAGAAGTTTTGTTCCCTCCCCCATCCCCCAGCCCCTACAAAGGGGGTCGGCATCCGCCATTTTTGTGGCAAGCATTTCTCTGCGGCGTTAAAGATGGCCGCGGCTTGCACAAAAGGGGGTCGGCATCCGCCATTTTTGTGGCATATATTTCTCTGCGGCGCGTAAAGATGGCGGCCGGCGGCTTGAGGCGCGTAAACAGACACCGAGACGTCAACAGCTCTGAGTAAACAGACGCTGAGAGGCAAACAGAAACTCGAGTGAGATGGACACTCTCAACAGGGCCCCACGCTTGGCAACAGGGCCCACACGCAGGGTCTAGCATGGGCCCCACACGCAGGGTCTAGCATGGGCCCCACACGCAGGGTCTAGACTGGGCCCCGCACGCAGGGTCTAGCATGGGCCCCACACGCAGGGTCTAGACTGGGCCCCGCACGCAAGGTCTAGACTGGGCCCCACACGCAGGGTCTAGCCTGGGCCCCACACGCAGGGTCTAGCCTGGGCCCCACACGCAGGGTTTATCATGGGCCCCACACGCAGGGTCTGGCCGGGGGCCCACACGCAGGGTCTAGCATGAGCCCCACATGCAGGGTCTAGCTTGAGCCCCACATGCAGGGTCTAGCCTGGGCCCCACACGCAGGGTCTAGCATGGGCCCCACACGCAGTGTCTAGCATGAGCCCCACACCTGCCAACAGGGCCCACACGCAGGGTCTATCATGGGCCCCACACGCAGGGTCTAGCATGGGCCCCACACGCAGGGTCTAGCCTGGGCCCCACACGCAGGGTCTAGCATGGGCCCCACACGCAGGGTCTAGCATGGGCCCCACACGCAGGGTCTAGCATGAGCCCCACACGCAGGGTCTAGCATGGGCCCCACACGCAGGGTCTAGCATGGGCCCCACACGCAGGGTCTAGCATG